GATGGTAGCTGCCATCTTACTCAGCAGAACCTCAAAGGAATGATGCTCCTTTGACAAAACCTGTGCCATCTCAATCAAGGCCTGACACAAAAGCAGCAATACTGTTAGTATTAGTGTACCGGTGTGTGACAGGTTCTTAGGATATAACCACAGTAGAAAGCAGCAAATCCTGATATGCACACGTGACTATGCAGCTGGATCTTATAACGTTACCTCACTGCGTTTGGCCTCCTGTCTGGAGCTCTCGTACAGCTGGACATTGTCCAGGACCATCCCCAACACATCCATATGATTGGACAGCACCTGGCCAAACCAAATTCAAATTTAAGATTTTCATAATTAATATGTAGCTTTGTTAAAAAATTAAAGAACCTCCAGGTCCTCACCTTTTCATCCATGCTGGTAAAAGCAGAAACCGATCCATCTCCTAAACTTCTCTTATTGATCATTACCACTACACCTACCACCTGTGCACAACAGAAAACATTGAAACACTGAAAACATATTGAAAAACAATGAGAGCATCCATATGCTTACACTGATCAAATCATACATCAAAACAAAAAAACACACACACACACACACGCCTCTTGAAATAAATGAAGAAATGATAGGAATGTAGGAATGCTACCTCTCCCCTGTGCTTCCTGATGGGCACGCTCAAAACAGTCCTGATCTTGAAGTTTGATGATTGATTTTCATCTAAGACGAACCTCGGGTCCTGAGGAGGTGAACAGATTATGTGTCACTGCTCATGATATTTCATTAACAAGATGCTTTTTGCATTATTGTGTGTTAAAATTCCTCTGTAATTTGGAAGCAACAGACATTAAAATCTCACCAACAATTTATTAATACTCATGTGTCCTTAAGCTACATGATCACTATTGCTCATCCGCTTTAGACTCATCCGGCCAGGAATACCCACATTTCTCGCTAACCTTGTTGTCAGAGGTTACTAGGAACTACCCATCCACACCCACCTGACCAGGGATTACCTGGTGTCAGACTCTGCCAGGCACTGGCACTGATTCCTAATCACATTGGTGATGGCGAAAAGGAGGGGTGATGTGGGCACCTCCTGTAATTCCTCTAAAGAGCTGTGCTGTCCTCTCTCTATGTGTGGGTGTGTGTATGTTGGCGTGTGTGCAAGGGAAGAACACACTGTAGCCTAGTGGAGAACATCACTGTCTCAATAATCAGAGGTTAATCAGCGCAAGAAGTAGCTAAAAGGATTAGAAGACATGGTCCATCTGGGACTCCCTGACATGCCCTCAAACTCCGTGAAATAACCTTGTCATCATCTAAAAAAACTGGTTATCAGGAAATAGCAGGCTGATTTAATGAACGGTTCTCATTTCTGATCTAAAATACCTGGGCCCTGAAGCAAACTAACAATTTTGTCATGTGTAGAAACTCGTCTGTTATGTGTTAAGCAGAGCTTACAACAGAATGCAGAGTCATGAGCCAACTACAAATAATGTGCCAGTTTATGCTTTTACCTCTGATGTGTCTCTCAGGTTCATTGGTGACCCTGTGGCCAGTACACATCCCATGATACCCTTCAGCAGATCCAGGTGCGCATGGCTGCAGATGTCGCCCTCGCTCAGGCATCCCAACACTGTTGGGGCAATCACCTCCTCCAAGGTGCTCCTTCCACTACACTTCTTTACCAGAGAGAGGGAGCAGACCTCAGCTGCCAGCAGCTCCCCAGCATGCAGGACAGCCCCCTGGCAGAGCTCTGCCACAGAACTCATCCAGCTGAGACCCCCTCTCAGCAGCTCCATCATCCATGGGCAGCCCTCACCATGGCCACAGGCTGCAGTCTTTGTAGCAATTGGATGCAGAAGCTGAGGACAGTGGGACAAGTCAGGAGAGCAAGGGCAACCGGGAGAAAGAGGACGACAGGGAGAAAAAGAGAAGCGGGAGGAACGAGGGGAGCGGGGAGAGCAAGGTGAGTGACTGCCCAATACATCTGGACTGCAACGATCCATCCAGTCAGGGGCACTGAGATTGGAGGCGAGGGGTTTGATCCTGTCTGTTAAAGATGAGATGTTCAGGTGTGAGTTGGTCAGTGGAGATGAAGTTCTGCGATGGCGAGCCTTCATGAGCAGGTCAGAGTGATCAGAGCTGCTCCTGGGAAAGCTGGGCAGCAGTGGAGCTCCCTCTGCCTGATGACCACTGACCCTGAAGTCACAGACAAGACACATCAAGCTACATGACTAACATGTTTTTTGTGGAAATTACATTGCATGCATTGCTTCATTCCATTAATATTTCTAAAGCGACAGTTCAAAGTCATTAACAATAGCAATAAGTGCACAGTTTTACAAATGCATTTTCATTCTCAGCTGTCAGTAGTATTGCAATAAAAAATATCTTACGCTGAAGCTCTGCGTAAAAAGTACGCCCTCGTAAAGTCAGAGTGGTCATCCAACCACGCTTCCACCTGGTCGCTTCTCATACCATCTCCAAACCTCCTGCTACGCGTCTTGGAGCGGGGGCTCCACAGCGGGGAGAAGAACCAGCCCATTCCCTTCCCCATGGGCTGCTCGCTCACCCTTTCCCTGCCGAAGGACTCCTCGGTCCCAGCGGCAAGAGATGCCCCGAGAGTTGCGCGGCCAGGTTCCATGGACTGCAGCGCTTCCGAGTGGAGGCAGGGCATCCCCTCGCTCAGGTAAAGCGAAAAAAGATCGATCAAACTCAGGTTGTTTTTTTTTTCGCCCGATAAGTTATGTAGGAGAAACCCCTGCCATGTGAACAGGAAGTGAGGCAGACTCAAAGTGCCGTGCCAGAGAGGAGAGCTTAATTGTTAGTGGAAGAGCCCGTGGAAACGATTGCGTCAAGGTAATCCCCTGACCTTTATTTAGCTGAACTGGCCCCACAGGTTTATTCGTTAAAGGGATCCGATTTAAATTTCACTACAGAACTAGTGAACTCGGGCTTTGTTACACAATGAATTGAATGGCCGGTTAGTCCTCTTGTAGCTACTAGTTTTACCAAGTGTTTCAGGCTACCTGAAGAAGGTCTGAGTTTCCAGTAGGCCTGATAAATTTTATTCATTTTAGACTTGTATAGAAATAAATTTAGGCCATATGAACTAATATCACATTTATTGCCTAAGATACTTTGAAGTGCCCTCAGATAGGCATTTAAATACACAAAATTAAAGAATAAAAACACAAATAATATACAAACGATAGTACAATAACATTACCATTAAATACATAGACTACTTGAGTGTCCCCATCAGTCACATCTTGTGAATAATCTATATGAAAAAATGAATGAACAGGAAATGAAGTCATTATCTACCAAACCGAGATACTGCAGTTTTGCATTACAGACATTTAGAATTGTTGCTTCTTCTTGTGACAATATTTTTGGTTTAGTTCAGTGTTACTATGTGTGTCACAGTAAAGATTTTTCATTTATAAATACTGGCGAGTAACATTACAGATAAATAGCTTGAATTGGATATTTTTAAAATATTGCATAATGTGAAATCTGAATCCCTCAAAAATTATTTTAAAATCAACCTAAGGCCTTCCATACATTTTATACAGTTTTTTTTTTAGTGCACCAAAACATGCACATATCCACAGTAAAAGTATGACACATGCCACAGTATAAGTGTTGTAGAACATGTGGGCTTAAAAAAGTACTAGAATGAAAGCAATGGGAAGTTCTGTTTAATTGAATTGTCTTGTGGATAGTTTACATGAAGTGGCAACATGATGAGGGGCATCACATCCATGTAAGAAAGAGAGAGGAGCAGAGGTCACAAAGGGTCAGTGCTGTGATCAGAAAAGCCTTATCAAACAGCCTCAGAAGCTGCCATACAACACTGCTGTGTCTGCAGCTGGAACCACAGAGCAATCAGGAAATTGCTGTGAATAGTTAATTCCTTTTAAAGCATTGCTCTATTGTGTAATTCAAATCCTTCCTTTCCAGAAAAAAATTTTTTTTCTGAATTTTTTTTTTTCCAGTGCTTGACTACACACCACTCAGTGTTTAACTGCTCCCTCTGCTGGCCTCTCACTCCTCATCACCTGCAGTGGGTGGATCCACGAGTGACAGCTGCGCTGCGATTGGCTGCTCCAGGAGGAGGCTGCCATGACACAGTGGATGCTGCACGGAATCAGTTCCACAGCATCAGCAGGCAGCGGACCTCCATCCTCCTCATTATCCCTCTCTCGTTCTCTTTTTTCTCTTCCTTTGCCTCTCCTCCTCTCACCGCCACCCTTGCTCTCTCTTCTCTCTCCCTGTTCCTCTCCCTCCGACAGACACGTAAGCCTGTTCGAGCACACTGCAGCAGAGGACGTACACACACACACCAGAGAAGATAGCAGCACCAGCAGCAGCAGCCGTAGCAGCAGCAGCAGGAAGACTGGTAGGTGTGCTGAGGCCTATCTCCCTTCCTCCTGCAGCACAGGCAAGACATCGCATTCTCCTCTGATCTCCGTCAAGGACTATCTGAGAAGTGTGCATGTGTGTGTATGTGTGTGTGTGTGTGTCAGTTTGTGTGTCTGTGTGTGTGTGTGTGTGTGTGTGTGTGTGTGTGTGTGTGTGTGTGTGTGTGAGAGCAGGGATCTGGAAAGTAGGCAGAGAGGACTACCACACCCTGGGAGCATTTTAGTACCACTGCCGGAGCTACGCAGAGTGAATGTTGCAGTGGATATTTTCATTCTCACATGCTCTACGTCCTGTACTTGCTTCTGTATTCATATGCAAGGATTTATATTCTCTGTTTTCCTGCTGGAGGTGTTTGTTGTTTTTCCTCCACTCTACAGCTCTGGGATTTGATTCAGCGCTGACTAGGCCTCATGCGTCTGCCCATGTGTGTCTTTGATAATGAGTGTGTTGAATGTCTAACAAAGGTCACACCATTTGGCATGCTGTGTGCATGTATTGTCAGCCTGCCTAATGACAGCTCTCTCCTCTCTTTTCCTAAACCATCCTCATCACCAGCCTTTCCATCCACTTCCCCCTGCCTCACATCCTCTACCTCACCAATTTCCTCTTTCATATCCTCCTGCATCTGTTTTTTCCCTCTCGCTCCTTTTCCTTTTTCCTCAAACCCACTATTTCTCCTCCCATCTCCATTCCATCCCCTCTTCACGCCTCTTCTCCTTTTCCGGCCGGCTGGTTTCCCAGGATGCCTTGTTCCAGGCCGCTCCGCTAGGCCCGAGCAGCATGGGCGGAGCCTGGGTGGGGAGAGAGAGCACGGATTGGACCCTTCCCCTCAGGACGGGCACGCTGGCGGGTCACCCTCCCTCAGCTTCAGATGGGCGAGGACGCTGAGAGCCCCAAAATCAACCACACCTTCCTGCGAGACTACGTCACTGAAGGTAGAACAGACGGTGTGTCATGGCTGTCTCAGATATGTCTCTGTGTCAGATAACGTGCTGGTATGATGGAACAGATTCATTTCAGCTTCATGGATGCATTATCCCTGCACTGCTGGATAAGAGGAATGGATGATGACATTCATCAATCCATGACTGACTGAACACTCAGAGAGAGACACTTGTTGTTGGTGCTGCTTAAAATGTTAGCCCTCGTATTTTCCTATGACAGATACATGTTTGATTTATGGGTTAGAGTCCAAGGATGCAAAAATAAAATGATTAATTTTCTGCCCCTCGTTTTGTCTGTACCCACTCAATATCCTTTCTTTACTGTCATCTCTCTCTCTCTCTTTCTCTCCCTCACTCTATACTTCTCTCGCTTAATTGCCTCCTACTTTCCTGTCTTCCCTTCCAGCTGATGTCATCTCTACGGTGGAGTTTAACCAGACGGGGGACCTGCTGGCCACGGGGGATAAAGGTGGCCGAGTGGTCATCTTCCAGAGAGAGACTGAGGTCAGTTTCATGTGTTCTAAATGTTTAGTCTTTGTACTATATCTTTACACGTAGAAATGTCCATTCAGAGCTGTGTTTTTTTTCCACCATTGACCCTGGACAGTCTAAAGGGGAGTCGGACGAGCCAGGGGAGACGGGAGACTCTGGGGAATACAATGTCTACAGCACGTTCCAGAGCCATGAACCGGACTTTGACTACCTGAAGAGTCTCGAGATTGAAGAGAAAATTAACAAGATCAGATGGCTGCCACAGCAGAACGCTGCACATTTCCTCCTCTCCACAAATGGTGAGATTTCAGTGACTTGGAGTGTGTATCTCTACCAGAGGATCATCCACATTTCTAGTTCCCAGCTGGGATGTAACTCAACTAGTATCAAGTATCAACTGTGAATATGCACGGATTTCTGTTGGTGTGTATCACAACTTACAGTAAAAACCCACTTCCAGTTTCTAGCAATATGCCAGCCTGATGTCATCATTTATCATCTAGGTTGGATAAAAATACATCAAGCCAGTCATTGGATTCACATTTGGGGTTACCATGGTGGCGCCACCCTGCCAGTATGAAAGCCACAGATTTCAACCTGTGCTTTAATTATATTCCTGTCATGAATGTTAGGGATCAAATTTTCAAGAAAAGTAGTTTGCTTCCTTAAAGTTTAATTTTCATCTACACTAGAGAAAACAGATCATCTGGATTGCCTTAAATCTGCCAAAAAGAAATACACAAGGAATCATTATCAGTCCCCTTTTCCACTGACTGTTGTCACAACTTTTAACAATTATTGTTATCTTTCTCTGAACTAAACCAACTTCCTCTGGTGTGATAATCCTTCTGCCTGTCGCAGATAAGACCATTAAACTGTGGAAGGTGAGTGAGAGAGACAAGAGACCAGAGGGATACAACCTGAAAGATGAGGAGGGACGGCTCAAGGACATCTCTACCATCACCTCTCTGCAGGTACACAGGCAGACACAAACCCATACTGACACACACGCACATGCACACCTGCACATGCACACGCACACTTTTATTTTGGTCAGTCAAATATGTATCAGGTTGACGTTTGATTGGCAAGCTCACTGTCCTTGCTTTTGTGCTCTTGCCCTCGTGATCGATGACTGTCATGTCCTCTAATCCTGTCCTTGCCTTCCTTCCTTCCTTCCTTCCTTCCTTCCTTCCTTCCTTCCTTCCTTCCTTCCCTGCTTCCTTCTTTAATCTACTGGCTTTCTCTACCTAAGGTGCCAGTGCTGAAACCTACAGATCTAATGGTAGAGGTCCGTCCCAGACGAGTGTTCGCCAATGGACATACCTACCATGTCAATTCCATCTCAGTCAACAGTGACGGGGAGACGTACCTGTCTGCTGATGACCTCCGCATCAATATGTGGCACCTGGGCATCACGGACCGCAGCTTCAGTATCCTTTATAACAGTGATTATAACAGTGATTTCTTTTCTTTATCCCCTTAATCTGTCGCTGTAGGAGGATTCTCCAATTTGACATGGCAAGTACAAAATTGACTATTGGGCCTATCTCTTTCACTGCTATGAAGTATTATTGTGTGTCATTGCAAATAATTCTGCAGCTGCAACGAGCAAATCATCCTAGGATAATCTTTATGCAAAAAACAATTTCTGGAACATATATAAAACAAAGGAAGAAGAGTGGAAGCGGTGTATATGTGTATGTCACTGAGCCTTTCCCTGCTGATTTAAATTTGTTATAATGAGTCAGTAATATTCTTGTTCACATCCGTTTGAATCATTTCCCAACCTTGAAAATGAATGTTTATTATGCTGCTTAAAGGAGAATCACATTTTGGTTGAAGAAAATAACATTTTTTGTCAGTGAATCTCTATATTGAAATATACAGTTTAAATCCTATGTATGTCACTACTATGTTACTATGTATGTGCATAACTTGAATGCATCAATTAACAGTGTTGATGTGCACCACATGCAAGTGTGCCAACATGCATATGCATGCTCTTTGATGCCGAAGAAGATTCACATGTATTGTGCATGCATATGGAATGTTCCTTTGGAGAAATACCCTACTTTAAAATCCACTTTGTGTGTATAGTTTGTGTTTATCAGTCTTCTACCACTGCCACTATGAAACTAGCAAAACCATACATCTAAATTCATACATAAATATACCAAACAACTGCTTAAAAAAGACATACAGTAGAAATATACCTCATGTTCTTGTTCATCTGAATTCATCCATGATCTATTTTTAATGGAAAGAGCGCACTTATGTTTGGATTTATGTTTGGATTAGAGTGCCGTGTAACACCTCGGAGGATGTATTCAGTGCAGGCTGTAGCATGTTGGATGCAGTGCATTTGGTGACTTCCCATTCAACTGGAAGCTGACCTAGAAAATCGCAGAGGCATCTATGGAAGAAGAGTTTAAATAATTCACTCAGCAGTACACTTTCTGCTGAACCACACAGGACTACCACAAATAGAACAGGGAGAGGAGCAGGGTGTGTGTGTGTGTGTGTGCGTATTGGGGGTTGGTTGGGGTGCAGTTTTTCGATTATGATTAAGAATTGAGGTTTGAGCAAGGGGAACATGTTGGTAATACAAAAAATTAAACATTTATCTTCAAACTAAAAAAGCAACTAAAGATGTTGAATGAGCATAAATGTTCCTTTTTCTCCATGTGATTCCGTCCTCTCAGGATGTGCATTACAACTCTTCCCTGCAGAAATGCCATAACATGAATACAGTCATAACACTGTGTGCATCTGTGTGGTGTAGCTCTGTGGTGTTTGTTCCTTGACCGACCCTCTTCTCAGATATTGTGGACATCAAACCAGCCAACATGGAGGATCTGACGGAGGTGATAACAGCGGCAGAGTTCCACCCTCACCACTGCCACTTGTTTGTGTACAGCAGCAGCAAGGGCACCCTGCGCCTCTGTGACATGAGAGCCTCTGCACTCTGTGACAAACACACCAAATGTGAGCAATGTTGTGGAGTTTAGGGACAAAAAAAGTCACAGTTTGCATGCTGTCTATGAGACTATAACGATGGCAATACTGTCTATCGTATTTGTATGAATGATAATGGCTTACAACACAGACTATTTGTTAATAATTAATGTGATCCACCAACAGTAACTCCCCTGTCTTTGTCCAGTGTTTGAGGAACCCGAGGACCCAGGGAGCCGGTCCTTCTTCTCAGAGATCATTTCCTCTGTGTCGGACGTCAAGTTCAGCCACAGCGGACGCTATCTGCTGACCAGAGACTACCTCACCGCCAAGGTGTGGGACCTGAACATGGACAAGGGCCCCGTGGAGACATACCAGGTGAAATAACACATTTTCCTTATCCATGTTCTGTCTTACCTTTATTTGTCACATTCTGTTTGCTGTGCTGATTGAATGGAGTCTTGCCATGTTAAATCTGGTCCATGCAGAGTAGCATTTGGCACCGTATAGTTTCTCACTTGCTTTTAGTCATATGTTGCTTGGTCATCTGTGAAAATGTTACAGTATATGAAGTTTAGTTGTGAAATTATTACTTAGTTGAAGTCATTTATCTAGTTATCTGTCAATTTATCATATAACATATGCAGGTTCCAGCTCCAGATTTTCAAATTTTCCATATTACTAACATATTATATATTATTTTTCCATATTTATAGTACTTAAATTTGAATATAGAAATTATAGGATTTAGGGATTTGGACTGCTGATTATTTAAAAAACAAGCAGTTTGCAGGTGTCATCCCATTTTGTCCACCATTTTCTGGCATTTCTTTTTATTTTAATTTATTGAAAAACAATTGAAAACAACTCTTTTAGTTGCACTCCTGAGATGCCACGTGCTGCATGATTTGCCTAAAGTTTGGTATGATACTGCATGCAGGTAATATGCAGAAATGTAGACAATGGAAGACAATGCGAGATGAAACTGGAATCCATTTGTGAGAGATGTAGTGTTAAATCCACTGCGCTGCCATGTCCAAATATAAATCCAGCCCTGAAACTAAGTTTGCATCATCTCCAGGTCCATGAATACCTGAGGAGTAAGCTGTGTTCCCTCTATGAAAACGACTGCATCTTTGACAAGTTTGAGTGTGTTTGGAACAGCTCAGACAGGTGAGTGAGAGAAGGATAGACAAAGTAAAGCATACATTTGAAAGTAAAAGGAGGGTGGGATTTGGCAGTGTGTCTCCGCTTACAGTGATTCTCTAAATGCAGTGATTCTCTAAATGCTCTGCCTCCACCAGTATACGACATTTAAATCAATCCCACAGACAAGCTTTGCAGACATCGAATCAATCTTGGTGCCTTCAGTTTTGTTTACCTCCTCTCCTCTCCTCTCCTCTCCTCTCCTCAGTGTGATCATGACAGGGGCGTACAACAGCTTCTTCCGGATGTTTGACAGGGAGACGGGCAGAGGTGTAACCCTTGAGGCGTGGCGGGAAAGCAGCAAGCCTCGGGCTGTGCTGCGGACCCGGCGTGTCTATACTGGTGGCAAGCGTCGCCGTGGAGACGTGGGCGTTGATAGCCTGGACTTTACAAAGAAAATCCTGCACATGGCTTGGCACCCTTCTGAGAATATCATTGCCATAGCAGCCACCAACAACCTGTACATCTTCCAGGACCGTGTCAACCCTGAGACGCAGGCACAGTGACTGGGGGATGGGAATATGGACAGCGGCAGACACAGTGCTTTTATTGAATTTGTCACAGAAACATAAGCAGTGACTCAAGTATATCAGGAAGTCTTAGAGAAGGCATGGGGAGTGGACAGCCTTTATTAGAAGATTAAGTCTAAGCCAAGCTGTCTCACAACATACTGAGATACAACATCTGTTTGTGTTGATAAAAGATTCATGATAAAATGACAAGACTGTTGATTTATTGGATCCCCAGGGAAGGTGTATAATCTTTCTTTTTTTTTTTCAACACTGAGATGAACTGATGTCTCCAGGACATGTTTTTGGTCCCACTCTAATCCCACTTTTTGAAGATGTTTGTGTAGCTGCCCCACTGTGGGGGCAGTAAAAGAGGTGCGGGGACACCTCTCCATCTGTAACGACTCAGTGCTGTTGACCACACAATGTTGCACTCCTCACTCATGTGCTCTGGTACTATTCGACACTATTGGAAGAAGGAATGATGCTACAGTCTTGGGATGATCTGACTGTGGATTCCAAGTAACTTTGCAGGATGGTGCATCTAAATCTAAATTTAAGCATTTTTCACAACTGTGAAACTGAAGATTAGGAGTGGTGTTACTGTACAGCCCCTCACAACAACATCCTGAACCTTTTTTTTTTTTTTTCTATCTAATGACAACAGCAGCTGAACCTCTCCTTTAGAGCAGTGCTCTTGGAGATTGCACGCATAATTGACCCATAATCTTTGCCCTATTCACTTTGCAATAACAGCACTAACAAAAACACAGTGCAGCAGTATTCCTGCTTTAAAACACAAGCTCTTCTTCTACAGGTAACATAAATGTACACTCTCTTTTTACCGTTAGCTGTAAATATTCAATGTTCTTTTTTTTCTTTTTTTTTAATGCGGTAGTAATTTTGGTCCCAGCTAAAAGGTGAAGAATGCATTTTTGTCTCATACACTGAGATCTCGTTTATAGAAAGGTTGTGGAATCTCATTGACTCGAGCTTTTGCTTGTAGCAGTACATACACGGTACATACATAGGTATTGCTGGGTGTAGAAAGAGATGTGCACAAACCAACACTTATGTTTTGTTGTGTATATTAAGCCTGTGATGGGTTTTGATTGCTGTATCAAAGTCTCCTTTTTCATTGTCTAAAGTACATACTTACATGGTAAATTATTGCAAATGAGGGAGACAGGGTGTTGATGTTGAGCCCTCACATATGCTCAAATTGAGGCTGATTGGTAATTAAATCTAAAATAGATTAAAGTTGAATTGCTGTTAAGTGTTATGCTAATATAAAATGAGCAAAATGCTTATTTTATAATACATAAGCACATTTCAGTGAGGGATCTTACAATCAAGAAAAAGTTGGAATCGAAGCACATTGTTCATGAAGGAGGCCGCTGATTCAGCGAATGATTCGATGACTAAGGCCGTGTCCTGTGTGTTTGAAGGTCAGAGGTTCTCATCAGTGCAATAGCTCATTATCTTCATTGCTGTCATGTCTTTAACATTGAAACAATGTCATGTGAATTTATCATATCACAGGTTCATAATGCCATTATACCGTTATACCTCACAGTGCCACATGCTACTCTGGGGCGCGACACTGAAAGCCCAGGATGTACAGCAGTAAGGTGATGTCTGTGTTGGACTGAATTATGTGACCTGTTCAAGATTTGATTGTTTACAGTGAAGTGCTTTGTTTTCAAGTGACCTTGGCCTGATGGGATTATTGTAAGTGGCGTCGACGTGTAGGCTACTGTAGCTGGTGGAGTAAAAGAAGCAGTGCAGAGGTGGAAAGTGTCAAGTCCCTTTGCACTTTTTTTCAAAACCTGACAAGTACTCTGTGTGATGGATCAACAACAGTTCACTGTGTTAACCTTAAACCCCAAGAAAAGAAGGAAGCGTCTGTTCCACTCGTCTGCTTTCTCCTCACGTTTCACCTCTTTTCGTTTCAAAGCCACTGTTCACAGATGTTTATGTTGCAGCTTGTGAGCTAGGCTAGGGGGTTCTCTTATAGACACCCCTACTACCTTTTGGTCTTCACTGTCCATTGGTGTTGTTGAATGCCGACACGATGTTGCACTGATTGGTTTAACGAAGTGTACAAAACACAACAAAATCCATGACGACTCACAAGAAAACGGTTTACATAGTGACAGACCACCTTTAGGATTATACAAGTTCCAGGACTGTAGTCCTCTGATGGTGAGCTGTAGTTTAGAACAAGTCAGTTATAATCGCATCATAACCACCACCACCACCACATACAAGCAGTGAGAGGATTTGTGTTCAGGAGCACAGCAGCAGCAGCATGTTGCCATTACTCAATGCTACTAGCGTGTATATCTATCATACTTTAAAAAAGACAAATCTAACAATACAAAAAAACATAACTCAAATGAGATGAATGAAAGGAATGTGCATTAATAAAATAACAGGAAATCTGTGTTTGGTCCTTTTATGTCTGTGTCTATATTAAAAGGGACATCATTTTTTTCTCATCACTAAAAAGACTATGACTGAATAAAACCATCCATGAGGGGTTTTGTCTCAAAGTCAAGCACTTTAATAAGAATTGCACACCCCCATACATCACTACATAAATTCACAGTATACAGGCTCGACCTCAGTGATTGTCAATCACAGGTGCAGTTTATAGTGTTCACATCTATGGGTTTTCATGTTCTGGAAGTGTTACATGTTGATCATCTGATTAGTACAACTCAGGGAAATGTTGCTGTCCTCTGAAAACCATGTATATCAAAGAAGAACAGCCCCATTTTCAGCTTTGTCACAATGCATTATTCAGATAACCAGATTTTAAAACTGTTTTTTAAACTGTTATCTTCATTTTGACATAAATAAATTATCATAGCATGAGGGCAATCTAAAGGCAAAGCAAAACACCTATTACGCTCTTTTTCTTCGGAATGAACACTGTCAAATGTTTTGTTGGCATATCTACTGTAAGAGATACCATCAAAAATAAAACCAAGTAATGTGAGGACTAGTGATGTACAGTATATTTTAAAAAATGACATTTAGAAGTCACCCCTAGTTAGTTAAAATAAACTGCTGCACAGTTTGGTCAGCAGCATAAATAGTAAGACCTATAATTAGCCATGACATCTTTGATGTGGCATTATGGTGCGTGAGTGTAGGAAGAACCATGAGCTGCATATATAGACAGGTTTTTAGACTCACCATAAACAGCCTCACTGCAAAAATAAAAAAATAGATCAATGTGTTATGTTAAGGCTTTCCAAAATGCCATTTTATGTACAATATAGTTTAAGGCACAGGAAAATCTGATCAATATTCAAAAATAAGATTAAGACCAGAACTTTTTAAGACTACAAAGCAAAAAGCTCATGGCTGCACACAACCAATATTAACACCTATAAATAAACGGGTAAAAGTACATTTAAAATTGCACTAATGTATACACACGCAAATGTGTACACATACTGTACATGCAAACATATTAACTATACACGTAAGAAATTCCTCGGTACAAAACCAGCAGCAACATTGCTCAACAAAAGACAAATTTCACTCTATTTAAAAATGCCACTATCTTATTTTTAAGAAATGCACAGTAACTCTAGGTAGTCAGAAGTGATGAGCACCCAACATTAGCTTCCTTGCATATCATCTCTATAAACACCATCAAAGTTAAACCAGTTCACTGTAACAGACCTGGAAAATGAAAAATGGATGGATACAAATTGAAGAATATGTTCTTCTGTTTGACTGGCTTTTGAAAATGAAGCTGAATGTTGGAATCTGACCATTCTTGAACTGAAAGAGTAAAATCTTTGTAAACTCATGCACTAACAGGAAGTACTACCAAAAATATTCAATTCCTTTCCTATAAGATTTCACCCTGTTGAAATGTCAGTACATTAACATGCACTGTAGATCCCTGTCATATCAGTTTGTAAACAATACTATAAATCAGTGGTTCTCAAATTTTTATCACAGACCCCTCTACTGACACAACTTCGACCACAGAGCCTCATTTGATAAGATTTTGGCTCAGAGTCCCCCATCTGATAACATTTTTGCTTTTAGATGTTTTATTACAGAAAGTGTTTGGAACCAATGACCAACATAGTCATACATTCTGTCACTGTGTTACTTATGGATGGAATCATAGTGAGAATTAATTATTCCGCTTTTTGCTGGGAACCCCCAGGAACTCCCTAAAGGACCGATGGGTGTCCCTGGACCCCACTTTGAGAACCACTGCTATAAGCTACATTAGTAACTTGATCGTCACATCACAAGAAAAAGACTTCCTGAAGAGGTTCAAGCCAGTTATTATCACTTCAGCTTAATGTGTTGCTGTCTTTCTTCTCAGGCAGTGATTTTTGCAGACAAGAACGGAGAGAAGAAAAAATCGAAAGCAAACTTGAGGGCTCTCATTGTTGTGCGTCTCCAGTTTCTCTCTATCTTCACCTGCCTGCTTCTATTCAACATTGAGGAAGCACAGTCCAGACAGTGGATGGACTTCAACTCGAAGGCCGGGGCTCTGGCTCCAAGGCGGCCTTCCAGCTTGGTGCTGAACTCCACCATATTACCAGGGCTCAGATTAAGCAGAACCTCTCTGAACTCATGGCTGGCTATTAGGATTATATCCCTGGCAGGGTCCTCTGTCCCCACCCCTCCATCCCGGATCATGCCTACTGTCACTTCAAACCGGTGGCTGTCAAAGTGCTTCACATGGCAAGTGTATTTGGCCAGAGCCTTGAGCTGACACAACTCTTCCTCTTCTTGCATTCGGAGCAGCATGGGCAGTGAAATGGTAGCTGAAGCAGAATTGGCTGCCAAATCTGCAGCTGCTGTAGCATTCATTGGCTCACATTTGGGATATTTCTCTCCGTACAGGCAGCGTAGCCAGTCTCCCATGAATACCGGCAACATGTTAATGACCGACTGTGCCCCATTCTCTGTCTCAGCCACACGGACGTGCTTGAAACTCCCAACCCAAGTGACTCTGTGTCCATGAAGGTGGCTACAGAAGATCTGTGTCTGGGCCATGCCTTTGATTTCCCAGGCAGGGGGCCCGCATGCCTGGCTGTACTGCTTCCAAGTCAGCGTGGAATTGTACACCTTGTCCCCCTCTGCGTGGTACACGTAGACGGAGAAGAACAACAGCACCATGGAGACACAGAGTAAGATGAGTTTGACTGGGCCGCGGTGGGTCACTGAGCGGAAGACATCCAGAATAGACATGCTGAACCGCGTCCACAGCCGCAGGGTGACAGGGATCGCACACACTACCAGGGTGACAATCACCTTTGTCAGTTCAAGCTCAAGGAACCACTTGAAGACTTGAATGAAGAGCATGGCGGTGAGGCCAAATGCCAGAATAGGCAGCGCAAACAGGAAGAGAAAGTAGGCCACACAGGTGCGGATTAGACCCACAGCGGAGGAACTCTGGAGGAGCACGACGGAGAACTCGCACCACATAAAGCACACGAGGTATGGAACCAGGAAGCAGTAAGTCCCCCGGAAACCACGCATCCTCGCCATGCTGTGGAGAAAACAGACCGAAAGACGCGGAAAAGAAATTGAAATAATTAATTCTGAAGGCATAAATTTATCAATTCACATCCTGCAGTCCAAATGCTTCGTCTCACCTGAAGAAGAGGTAGAACAGGTAAACATACAGCAGGCAGGGGATACTGATCTTCAGCACCACTGACTCCCCTAGTGGTAGTGTGGCAAAGGTGTGTCCCAGAAAACGAAGCACAGTCATGTTCTCTGGTAGGAACTGGGTCAGGCAACACAGAGATGATGCTACCTGGGTTAAAAAATAAAAAAAAAAGTATGTACATAAACTAGATTCTTTGTGTAGCTATGAAGGAACTCTTTTATTCCAAATTCAAGTCTGTCAGATTAAAAGGATCACAAGCCATCAAATAAATATCAAGTATCAGTTCACTTCTTGGCAAACGTTTTAGAAAGCCACTGACTTTCCCACAGATTTTCTATCTTGCGGGGTTGCTGATCTCATTTCTTTTCAGTGTGCTATAGAAAAACTTGCAGATAGTTACTGTCAAGTTTTTTAATCCCCTGAGGTGAGGCTGTTTCGAGCATGGATCACTTAATGTGAAAACTTTGCTCAAACACACCAGGGAATATTGAATATTTCTGATGCATTACAAATGGCAAGTGTCTGCAACCCAATGGATAAAGTGGATTCATAGGAGTTAGAAAATCAATCTTCAAGACTTACTTTCAAATGTACTTTACTGCAAGACTGTAGTTATGATGATAATAATGTTAAATATATTGTCTGATGTAAAAGGCTACAACATGCACAACTGTGATTCTGATCATTTGGTGCCCTCTGACCTCTATGGCCATTGCTTGGCGTGCGTACATCGCAGCAGTGGAGCTGAGGCTCTTGTAGCTGACAGCAGTGAAGAAGATGGCCACAGTAGAGAGCTCCGAACAGGGGATCCAGCCTTTGTCAGCTACAGGGAAGGAGAAAATGACAAAGAAGACGGAGAGGATAAAGTAGAGGTACGGCTCTAGGTTGTTCCAGCCAAAGTTGGTCTCTGCCTGCTCCACATCCAGCCCAGGTTCAAAATGTATCAGCAAAGATGTCAGGGCTCTGAAGTTCTCCCAAGTCTGGAGAATGAAGGGGGGAACGAAAAAGAAAATTGTGAATCTTCAAATACAGTACATGCATTGTTCAATATCAGTAAAATGAATTTCACCATCATTGCCAATGTTGATACTTTTAGTATGAAAACTGTTAAGTCACAAACTCCAATGTTCTCATTTCATGTTCTTCGAACAGGTCAGATTTCAAGTAAAAATACTGTATATGACTATAACTATATGAGTGTCCCACTGGAAAAGATGGAGAGACAGATAGAAAACCTCCAACATGCTTAGCTACTTCAGTAAAGTGAAAAAGAAAACCTTAAACAAAATGCACATACACCAGCATCTTGACAGAACAGAGAAACATGTAGCGTCATGGGTTTCGCGTTTAAAAGCAATCGGGCTCAATTAAGTAATAACTAAATAATTCTATTAATACTATCAATTTTGAGAAAAATTGAGAATTACTCATTACACTCACCTTGCTGCTTTGAAAAACACGTAATGTGCAGATGATCATGGAGATGAAGGAGAGGTAGAAGACAAGCAGGGGGATGAAAAAAGCAAAGAAGTCGACTGTCACGTTGCTGAAGATGAAGAAGAAAATAAGTGCGTTGACATGGTGGGTGGGGATGATTGTGCTCAGCCACTGGACACCGGCCCGCGATGCCCAGTCGACCAGGTGCTCCTTCATCTCCACAATGGTGTGTAGCGGGTACTCCAGCATCTGAAGTGAGGAGAGACAGATATGAAGAGAGGCTGGGGGAATGAACAGGCAAAAATCAGGAAAGAGAATTATGAGAATTAAGAACTGAATGATTTAACAAAAGGAAAAAGATCCACAAGAACAGATATTCCAGAGATATTTCATGAAGGATAATTCCAGGAATATACAAAAATAGAATGAATTGTAATACTAGCTACTGATTAGGATACCATTAGGCGTGACTTCATGTCCATGGCTTTTTGCTTCGTGCCCAGAATCATCCCAGTCCGGCCCAAACTCCAAGACCTTTTATAGGACTTCTTGTATCCTGATGGGACCAACTCAGTCCTCTTCAGAACACACGAACACATGAACACACACACACACACACACACACACACACACACACACACACAGACACACACACACACACACACACACACACACACACACACACACACACACACACACACACACACACACACACACACAGAATTGTTTTATTGAAATATAAAATGATAAGTATGCCTTTTGCTTTATTTATGTCTGTGTTCTACAATATTTAAAAAAATGTTCTATTGTCTATTTTTCTAAATTTGGTCTTTTACCTCCTGACCACTGCTGCGAGGTGTAGGGCATTCAGTCTTGGCAACCTGGTTGCCATCTTGGGATGCAGAGGGGACAATACCTTGTGCATACTGTTTTGTCATCTCAACAAACTCATCCAGGTCCACCAGCTGTTTGGCTGAGAGGACACAATGCAGGGGATTACACAAGAGTATACACTATAGCCGCTCACTTTCTCTCTCTCTCTGTCTGGATACCTACCCTCATTGCTGACCATGCTTTCCAACACTCTCTGGGTCTGGCTTGAGGTTGGGCCAGGGATCCTGCTTGCAGTGCCACCTATTGGGGAGAAATGACCACAGCACCAGTGAGTTACAAACAGTGCACTGCATGCCTGCATGTAATGTGATATTCTTCACTGTGACAGCTGCAAACACTGACATCATAAAGAAGAATATATCATATATTTAAAAGCAATGGTAGCTATCATATGACAACATGCTACAGCATTCTACGCAGTCCATAGTAGACCAGGCAGCATTGCTGTAACAATGCAGATATGGTGTCGACGGTTGTGTGTGTATGCATCTTACCTGACACTGCATTGACCTGGCTGACATTTTCCAGCATCTCAGTCATAGCCACCTTGGTCTTCCTCTCTGGGTTGAGTTTAAAGTACATCATCATGGCTGCTTTACGTACTGCCAGCTCAAACTTACTCTCTGTGGACAACTTGCGCACATCAGCCTCATTCTCTGGAGTAATTCCTTGCAAAGAATGACAGACAGGAAAAAGTTCAGGAATAAAAAAAGAAACCGCAAATACACAAACAAGAATATGCATGTGCACGTACTGTATACCTTTCTTCTGGATCCAACAGCGCTGCAGTAATCTCGCTGCACCTTTTCTTCCTTGTTTAGCTGCTTTAATCAGCCAATTAACAGCCAGCAGATTGTTTGACTCCGCGTCCTTCTCCTCAGCAAGAATCAAGTATTGCTGACCCAGCTGAAACACAGAAGAGAGGTCAAAGAGAGTCCATCCAGTTTTTATGGCCTTGGTCTAACTATTAATTCTTAAACCTGTCAGTACAATGTGACATGAAGTCCACCTTACAGTGGGGCTCAAACTCCCAAAAGAGACCATATAATATAGACTAGCTTGTGAAATAATATAAAGTGTACATAATAAAATAGCTTTATATTAAACATTGCTCATATCTTTTTACCCCATTACTTTGAACAATGTACAGAACACGCATTTTTTTATAGGGATTATTTCTTTCGGTAGAAAGTGGTTTGAATCAAAACAGTTCACTTTGATGTTCATGGAATCCACTGATGACAGATGACTACAGAACTCATAATTCTCGGCCGCTGTGACTATCGGTGCCTCTGTCATAGATAACTCCACTGTTTTCCAGGAGTAGCAGAGGCCCCCCCGATGGCATATCAAGTGACTGTTTTCTAATCTTATCTGTCACCTCATAACTTCCTTCTCTCACAGTTACCATCAAATGTGTCTGTTTGTATGAAAATGTGTACCTGCATCTGAAGCGGCTCTGCATTAGTGCATTCCTGTCTGAGTCTGTATTACATACAATAAACATAAGGTCTCATAAATCTGCTTCATTAGCATGGATTTTAAATTGAGAGTTTTGTCAAGACATCTTAATACTTATGATAATTCTACAAATGAAAAACAACTATGCTCGTACATCAACACTGATTCCCTTGTGTAGGACTTCAAGCTGTCGGTGTAGAGCATGTCTATTATGATACATGAGACATCATTGTGTCTGAACCATTACTCAGTGCATATACTGCATGTCAAACCACTTTACTGATGTGGTGACGTGTTTGGACATGTTCCCTTACACACACCTCCTGCAGCGTGAGAAGAAGCCACACTTAAGAATTTACCCTTTCAGAGCTGGCGGGTCTTAAATGTAAAGTCTGGTCTCATCTTCCAACCCCTCCACCCCCCACCCTTCCATTTCTTATGCCGGCACATTTGTGCGTGTTGGCAGAGAACGACGAACAAAGACAATGTGAATATTTCATTATTATTTGTACAAAATCAGTGCATGCTGCAATACGCTGAAATAGTGTTCTTAATAATTTGTATGTGTGACAGGATCTTGTGTATCATATTCAAAGTCTGGTCTCAGTGGTCAAAAATAGACACTTGCTCTCAACCACACTGAGTCAAGCAGCAGGACTGAAAACAATGCCAAGTGCCAGTCTTTATGTATGTGCTTTAAGTCACCCGGGTCTGAGCTCTGGCATCACCAGCTTTGGCTTTCTCCTCAATCTGCTCCATGGACAAATCCTCCTCTGGTTCTTCATCTGGAGGAGAGGAGAGAAGATGCGTTAAATGTACATATATCAATCTCAATCAATCAAATCAATCGAAAATGACTCACTGGATTACATAAAACCCTCGCTGCCAAACTTGTAAAGGCATATTCATTGAAGGAGCAGTATGACTCATTGCTGGTCTTAACACACATCGTGTTCACAGCCAGCAATGAACCAATCCCAGCTGTCATATAAGTTGCAACATGAGAATAAGAAGAAGTCAGGGGTGTAGATCTGCTCTATGTGAGACTGTGTTCACTCTAAACGTGTCTGTATCTGTCTGTCTATGCTGATATCTTGTGACAAGACCCCACGGCTCCATCAACACCATGCCCAGTTTCGTAACGGTTTCTGTCTCCCCTGTGTCCTTTAAGCAAAGGGGTTCAGCTTCTTCGCCTGTAACCCTGTTTCAAATGCCACAGACTCTCATCCACAGCAAAATCTCTTATTGATGTAAGACGTATGATTTCACTACCAGTGGCTTTGAAATATAGTAACAGGTGATAATATTATTATTAGTTTCTCTATAGAAGGTGTAGATAATACAAGTAATTTAGGATAAGGGCTAAAGATTATGCAAAAATAAATAAATAAATACATATAATAAATCAAAGCGCGATAATTTTGTCAGATATTGCGATTATGATGAGTCACAATTTTAGAGAGAAAGTTATAGTTTGTGTTTAACTTAAAAATAAAAATATTAAAAAGATCCTTTAGGTCTGCAGAAAATGATTTCCAGGGTGGAGAATCTCTGTAGCAGCACACTGCTTATAAATGGTACATTGTGACACATTATACCTTTATCAAAAAATTACAGCTCCCACGATTTAGATGTTGCACTTGGCTATATTGCGATAATATTTTGATTAATTGTTCAGCCCTAATCATTTAATGTAATGCGTAAATAATTGGTTCATTTGTCATGCCAATCGAGCCAATTGTGGACGAGACATTTCAATCAAAACCACAAATATGAACCGCATGGTTGCACTAGAGGAATTCATGGTCTGGGCACCACAAATGTCTGTACCAGATTTAATGGCAATCCATCCAATAGTTGTTGAGACATTTCACTCAAAGCCAAAATGTTAAGCTGCTGGTGGTGCTAGAGGAACTGTCAGGGCTTCACCGAGGTGCTGATAGGATTCATTCTCTGCTACAAAATTTCATCCCTCTGATAATTGTTGAAATATTACATTGTGGACATCACACCGACATAGCTATCCATAGATACAGATATGCATAGCTCTATGGCTAAAAAAGTTCAACAAGGTATGTGTGGCAATAGAGAAGACAAGTAGCAGAAAAACTATATGTCTGCATGTTCACTACTCTTCACCTGCCAGTCACAGTAAAGCAGAGAAGGTGATGTATGCAGAGCATCTGCTTTTCTTCACTTTGGTTTAACACACAAAACAGTTGTTGAGTGGAACCAGTGATCTAACAAGCAGGGATACACAAATTAAGGCATTGTTGATTATAATAATGCCTTTACTTTATTAATGATTGTATAGTACCTTTTATGCAGAAATGCAGTCCAAATGCTTCTCCACACAGGATTAAAACAAGAAAACAACGTTAACTTAAGTAATTCTCAATTGTGGCCAAGAGAGATGTTTATCCAAGTGCAGGGTTACTCTGCTACACATGGAGAGACATTCCAAAATACAGCACAAGGCTTATCACCTCAACTGTGCAATGAGTCTGTGGTCTGTGACTTCAGTTCTCAGTGCCATTAAAATTCACAGTGTGTAATTTAATCCCAAAATCAAAATGAAGGCATTCTTACCATCTTCTTCATCATTGGCATCCTCTTCCTCTGCTTTTCTAAGTCTTTCCTGTAGTATCACCTTCTTGGCCATGGAGGCAAAGGTGCGTTTCACAGGGGCGGTGGAAGGAGTTGCAGGAGCCGTGGTGGGAGCGGTGGTGGAAGTAGAAGGAGGGGAAACTGTCAGAGTGTCGCAGGCCATGCTGGCTGAAGTTTTGCAGATTTGAGGGGTAGAGTGGTTAGGAGAAGTAAAAAGTGGTGTTTTGTCTGCAACAGGAGAGGAGGGTTTAGTGCAAACAGTCTTAGAGGATACAGCAGTATATAAGGGCTTTGACCCATCTAAAGAAGGAGGGGGGTCCTTTGGTTTAGACATGGTTGGAGCTGATTGTGGAGAGGAACAGGAGGATTTTCTGGGTTCTGTCATTGTTTCTGTGGAGGATGGAGATTTGGTGGGCTGAGAGGGTGGAGCAGAGAGGTCACTGGAGATGGGTGAGGGAGGAATCTGTAAGGGGGAGGGAAGAGAGGGTCCATCCAGGACAGGGCATGACCCCTGGGTGTTGACAGGTGTGGGTGTTGATGGGAAATCCTTCTCCATTTTAGCCTGGGAGAAAAAAAAAGTGAGAGTAAATATGTCATGACAAATATACTGCAATGAAATACTGGAGGTAAGTGAGTCATAGGTGAAGACACAGCTGGGCAGTGGACTCTGTGACCTCCCTGTCAGCAAACTTGGAGGAACCTTTCCTCTGGATATTTTACTACTAATATATAACATCTTCACTTTGAAAGAAGGGGAACAAACAACAGCAAAAGCCTGTTCTACTCAATGTGTCAACTTTGTGAGAGAAGAAATAGGATAAAATGAATTTGATTAATTTAATGGAATATCTGTTGCAATAACATGAAATTTCACTAAACAAAGAGGAAAATGAAAGCAGTAACATACTGGTAACCTAACAGGCTATTTAGAATCTGAAAGGAAAATATGGAGGGATAACATTAAATCAGTTTTGACAATAGTGTAGTTACTTAGCTTCATCCTGCACATGCTGACACAGACACTGTGAGGACACAGACATAGGAACTCTGAACTTCACGCCAAGAACATTCTCAACACCAAACCTGCACCAAGTAAACACTTCGTAAAATAAGGTAAAGGAAACCTTACCTGGTAACGAAATGAGCAGATTTCTGCAGGATATAAAGTAAATTGCTCTCCTGAGTTTAAATGTTGTGTATGCTCTCCATGCTGGGGTCCATTCTGCTCCACAGTGTTCTATGAAACCAGAGACGGACACTGGCTGCGGTTAAACTCTCTGGTCTATAAAAAACACCCCATCTTTGTGACCCGCCCTCTAAAACTAGACTCTCCCCTAACAGGGGGTAATAAATGCCCATCAAATTGCCGACTTATTTGAGTGGTTATAAATTCGTCTTGCTTCGTAAACCGTTGAGGGCCAAAGGATTTTAACAAATCCTGTCACCTCTTCAAAGGTTTTCTCAATTCTGTCCCACATGTCTTTTTTGTATTAAAAAACAAATAAATATAATCTGCTATTAAACAGCAAAAGCTTTAAAATAGTGGGTGACTGATATTCAGTGAAGCTGCATGTGCAGTGGTCAACTGCATGGTCGCACCATTTAAGCAGATTATTAGGTTCCAGGTTAAAAGCTATATACTGTGGGCCCAGCCTTAATCGAGTTAGTCTTTGTCCCATATGGCAGCAGTTGGCAACAAGGCTGTCTACTGAAATGTTGAGAATGAGGTAACACTGTATAATAAAAGTACAAATCAAATGCATATGCCGAAGGAATGTATGATGATTTGATGCACAAAGTAATGGAGGTGCATTGTTGTTCACTGTTAGGAAATAATCAAGTAATCATGAGTTTATGTGATTAGTTAATGCTTCACAGTTCATCAGCTATAATGAATGTTGAATTAAGTGCCAGTATGAAGCTGCTTTTGTTGTGGAGCAACATAGAGCCCATGTGTTTGCATTTGAACACCAGTTTGATAAAAAACAGCTTCATATTTCTATGACAACAGGTAAAGTACTACTCTCCTTTCAGTCTGGTATAGTCTACCCTTTTTAATGGATTTTAGCAGATTTGATGGCAAATTAATGAACGTGCACTAACTGTGGCTTAACAAGATAATCCATTAAGCATTAATATAAACTCATAGTGACTTGTGATACATCCTGCATTAATTCAGGTATTTGATCATCATGAGTCATGCCTTAGGTATGTATTACTTAAGCATATGATTTGTAAAATGTTTTCTTATAATACTAATTATCTTACCCCTGTTTCTTCAAGATGTCCTGATAGAAGGTTTAAGGTGGACAATATTTAGTTCACTGGAAAGGTAACAAGGCAAAACAGTTGTAATGTAGACCTGCTTACGCTTATCTGGGCTTTAAAGTGCCTTGGAATAACTTTTGTTGTGATTTTGCACTATTTAATAAAAATTGACTTTACCTTACTTGACCAACAACACCCATGTTTACTGTCAAGTTCATGACCTTACTAATGGAACTTAATAAGCGTTTAAATAAAGCAACTCTAAAATGCATTTTTCATTTTATCAATGTATCATAAATCAAACAGCGGTCTTCAAGTGCTGGAATGGGGGAAAATAGCAGGGAATCAATAAAAGCCACTGTGGCCCACCGCCAGAACTGGCCGACCGAGTCTAGTAGGCCTACTTCCGGTGTACTTTTGCTTGGTTGTTGGTTGAACTCGTCAGATCTCTGGGCCCAGACTTGTCCGAGGATTTGCCAGAATAATATGAATAACAACGGCAAAAGAAAATTAAATTAGGGAACAAACAAACGCAGAAACCGCTCATACCTGTGGACATTTCGGGAAGTTGGGTGAACAGGAAACGAGGCCTGCGAAGAAGAACCACAGAAGCAAAGCTAACTGCGTTTCGGGAGTTTCAGGTGAACTTATTGGAAGCCATTGCCCAGGTATGTGGCCCTGTTAGGCTTCTGAATGTAAATAAATTATGCACTGCTTTGCCTCTGCAATTTACTGCCTGCCGGTGGTGGCAGCAGGTGTCCCTTAGAAAAAGGTTGGAGCTTGTCAAACGGAGTACAGCAGCCTTTCAGGGATTTACGCATGCGCACGGAGGGTAATCCTGGGATCTTTGACGGGTGACTAGCATGGATGTATTACATCCATAGTGACTGCTTGTCAAGCTGTTCTTGAGTTAGCTTCAACAGACGTGTCTGGCAACTAAGTTTGTGCTGAAGAGGCAGAAGTAGCATGTAAACAAGCAGTTTTACACTGATTCATCATCTCTGTGCGAGATCCGCAGCAAGTTTGAGAAGTTTGAGACAGAATATTGTTACACATGCAGAGTTAGCTAATTAGTTAGCAGTTAGGGATATAACTCTAAATATACATATGTGTGTGCATGTGTACGAATTCAGTATGAACTACAGCTACAACTCCTCAAGACAGCTCCTGAAGACAACTCCTCAAGACCGAAGATCCCGCGTCTTCCGTGTGCCTCTTAACTACAGTCCAGACCATGAGCCAAAGAAGGTTAACAACACTAAGGCTGGAAAATACAGGACATTGTCAGTGACTGGTAAATATTTTTGATAGAGGTGATTTCCCATTTTTTCCATTCTATTTTCCGCCATACTGTACATTTGATATGTTTACTGTCAATAATCCTAATATTTCTTCAGCCAGGAAGGAGAAAGGTGAAGATGTCCAGGCAGCAGAGAGAGCAGCAAGATGCAGGAGAGAGACTTTCAGCCTGGGAAAGACAGGCAGCAAAAAGTAATGAGACAGGACAGGATCTGAATTTAAAAGGGATTTGCTACTGAAAAGGTAGGTAAAAGACACTGCACGCCACTGCTTTATAGCAATTGTACTGTGTTAGCTGTACTATTATGTCACCTTTGGTGGTTGTGCTCGAACAAATGTGAAATAAAAACAAATTTTCTTAATGTTGTATTGTGAAGAGCTGCTTAAAATGACCTTGTTTGCCCTGCAATAGAAATTCATATTATTTAGTTGTGTGTTTTCATAGTAATGCCAGAACCCACTTCAGGCCAGTACCACACCTTATGGCCCCCCCACAACCGGCAAGCCCCATAACTACATGGTCTCAGAATCGATTCTCAAAATGATTTTGAGCTTGTAAAGTGATGTTCACAAATAATTCTAGTTTGTTGTAAATCAACCTTTGTAAACCTGTAAAATAAATCTGTTGGAGAAATTCAATTTTGTGCATGTGAAAAAGTGTGCTTGTGTTGAAGAAAAATGGGGCTGTGTGAATCAATAGTCTTGTTTATCTGTTAACAAATAGAAATGTCTCCTACACATGCAACTTTTTTGACTAATGCAACTATTTTGTTCATATGCACAGACACTAATTTCTCATGCATTTTTATTTAACAAGGACACAGAGCTTATTTATAACTACAAACTTTTGCAAACATTTGCAAACATTACTTCACAAGCTCAAAATCATTATGAGCCTGACTAGAGGCTGGTTTTTTCTTCAAAAAATTAAATCTTCAAAAAACTTTATTGTTGTGTGATTTAGGTGTACCTAGAACTTTCATGTTAACTACTGTACGGTACTAAAGTAAAGGTTTTGAGCTCAAGATGTTTCATTTTTAATCTGAGTGAGGGAATTGGGATTCACAGTGTAATGCAATCCAATAAACTACATGTGTTGTGCTGTTGCTACGTATGTTTCATGGATGGTGCATTGTTCCTCTGGGAGCTGTGAACCTGCATGAGTCCTGAACAGACAGCGCCCAGATTCTCTCTCTCTGTGTCTTTCGCCCTCTCCCAGTATCCCCATGGGCCATGAGAAGGACAGTCTGTTGCTGCCTGGAACAAGATTTCAGCACTCACTGTCGGTGCACATCAACAAACATCCCATGAGCATACAGGTCACTAGTTTCAGGGGCCAGTGGACAAAGGAGCAGCTGCTGCAGGCTGCAGGCCTCACCTGAACTGCAGGTAATGTTCGCTTTGCTTTAGGAGAAATGTAATGCATAATTTTTCCAGGATGCAATACTTAAAATCAGTGGGCCAATCACCATTGTGTTATAGCTCATTCAGCGATAGATAGTGACTTAACAGACATTTATTTAAATGAAAATCTTTGTTCTGTGGAGAATGATCTGCAACCATTCTTCATAGGCCATAAATGTGGCATCATAGCCTATCTCAAACTATTGTATGCAATGACTGGCTCATCAAAGACCCATCTTACTGGGCTTTGACAGCAGAAATTACTGTGTATGCGGCCAGTGTCTTTGAGCCATATATTATATCATGATTAATATGGAATCATCAGTGTGCAAGCCTCATATTACTATTGTAGCTGCTGGAGGTGGAACTGTTGGGACACCAGCTAAATCCAAAGGGAGATGATTAAAGGGAGAAGAAATAAGAAAAAAACAAAGTCTGATACACAAATGTGTTTTTTTTTTTTTTTCTCTAATCTTTGCTTTTTGGTGAGATATTGGAAAAGTTAAGAGGGGAAAAATCAATATTTGGTGGTATTTCAATAACTTGTCATATTAACTATTGTGCAAATCTTAAAACTAGGCTCTTGTTTGACAACAGCCACTAACACTGTAGGCAAATAGAGCATTTTCCAATCTGTCTATCCCTGCAGATGTGGGTTAAAAGATGACACAGGCTGCTTTAATCCGCTGACCTGCTCATGCACAGCCCCCACATTAAAAGGAAAGAGACAAAGACAAAACAGGGGCGCAGAGACCCAGACTTACTCTCATTTTATTTGTGTGCATGTTTGTAGTGTTGTCACAAACTAGGCTGTTGCAGAGCTAATGCTTCACATTAAAACTAGTTCACACAGACACACCTATCAAAACTGGAGCACTGCATCAATGCACTGTTTTTCGTGTGTGTGTGTGTGCGTGTGCGTGTGTGTGTGTATATGTGAGTGTGTGTGTGTGTGTGTGTTAAGAGGCGGGATTCTTAGGTAGCCCGGAGAGAGCTGCTGTTCACAGTTCACAGCATCGAGTGAGCGCGCTTGCCTGAGAGGCGGGACTGTGACCCGGTTAAAATAAACCAGGCTGCTGTCTCCATCGTTTCAGATTGGGGGAAGTCTCAGTCTCCCGTGGATACGCCACAATGTCTGACTGCAGAAGACAGTGGAACCGGGAGGATGAGCTACCGGTCTACCTGGCGGGGCCGATCACCACCGGGCCCAACCAGCGGAAATCCTACGGGATGTTCAGCTCCGTGGAGGGGGCGTTTGAGAGCAAGACTATAGACTTCGATAACTACGCGGTGGGCAGGAAAGGGAGCCGCACCCCGAGAAGCGGGAGCCGGGAGAGGCTCTTGGACACTGGTGACCCCATCGGCAAAACGCCCAGCGAGGCCCGGGAGGGGTCACTGACCAACTCGCCTGGGGAGAGGGACGACGCACGCACCGGTGGTGAGGCCAGATATTCATCGGGGAAGGAAAGCCCTAATGGAAAGGTAGGACTGACGATTTTACCTCTTGGCTTTTTCTCTCTCTGTCTGGCTTTTTGGTTGAGATTCTATGGAACAGGCCTCCCAATAAAGAGCCTATAAATTTATAAGTGTTGTAACAAACGCACGAAGCCTAAAGCTGGTGGAGAACTATTGAAAGACAAAGATAACAACGAATATTATTTTTGTCGGCTGAAAGAAGCCAATAAACATTTGAATAATTCATTTTAGTCGGCAGAAAACGTTGTGTGGACTTTTGGAAGAGCAGAACTGCCATCTTATTAATATCTTAAACAACCCATCAGGGAAGTTATTCTGAGAGAAAAGCTTCAGTCTACATAAATGATGAACTTTTGTGCTGCATTGCAGTTTGGCCTGTTTGGTTTACGTCTACGTAGCTCAAATAGGATAAAATTCGTCAAAAAGACACAAACGCAGGCACGTCGAGACATAGCCTGTAGGCGCTGTGTTTAGTCTGTGGTGCGGTGCTGAATTGGACAGCGGCAGACGTCGCCCCCTCGCCGTGTTGTTTTTGTGCTCTCACGTGAGCTGTTTGTGTGTGTGCGCGTTTTGTGCAGGGGGTGTGAGGGCGCTCGCGTCCATACCATCTTTATTCTCGGTGCCGTGAACGCCGCCGGGGCGACGCTCCCTTTTCCTCACGCGCGCACGCACAGGATCGTCACCTGTCTTGTCACTGTGCGCGCTCCACGCATCCTGACGCGGCCGTACGGCGGCGGATTCATCGCTCTCCCTCTCCCACACACGGAAACAATAACCAAGAAACATCAGGGGGAGACAAAGGGGCGCAGAGCGTAGCGCAGGGCGCCGAAGTCACCGTAACCAGCTACTGAGTTGACTGTCTGGGGGCAGAGCAACGGAGAGAGCATGTCTGGGGCCAGTTACCAGGGGAAGAACAGCATCCCCCATCTGACGGTAAGAGACCTGGCCTGGCGGTCAGGAAGCTCTCCGCTTGTATGCAAATCCCTGCTGCCAATGCCGGCAGAGCAGGGATTAAATTCTTAGTGAGGCGGCAAAGAGCAGAAGGCCCATGTAGGCTACTGTTTCTCCAGTATTAAACAGCAAACCCAAGATGGAGAGGTGACAATTCTGTGTCTGTGCGTCAAGTCGAGCGCGTATTCTTGCTCAGGGTTGGACAGTGTTGTGTAATCTCTGCGCCTGTCAAAGGGATTAACTCGGTTGATCTGACGGTCGAATCAGGGGTCCCACAGGAAACAATGACTTGTTTATAAGATCACAGAGGTGTGAGCCTGGTTTTGAACAAAGATGCATCCCTTTTCAGCCACTTGGAAGCATGTATTCTGCAGAAAGCCCCTTATCATTCCAGGACAGGCTATTATTAAATGCCAAATGAATCCAAAGGCAGCATACAATTAATAGAACTAAGCATTAAATTTCATGGTGGAGAAAGAAAATAACAAATCCCACTCTACTCACGTTTTTTTCTATTGTAAGCATCATTACTGACTATAGATACTGACAATGAAGCAGGGCTGTCAGCTGCAGTCATCTCGAACCATGGGTGATCAGTGGTTACCATGGAGACATAACATCTTCCTAATGCTGTTGCCAGGCACCCTCCATGCTGGTAGAGGGTGTGGACACATGGTAGTCTGACAAAAAAGTGCTTGTTTTTTGACTGCACTGTTAATCTGATCCTATACAATTAATGCAAATTAGACTTTAAATCAGATATCAGTATTATTAGCTGTTATGAGACCCCACCCATGCGCAGCACCGGTATGGCTATGCATTCCTTTCCACCCTCATCCACTGCACTGTGTCATAATATTGCTATAAGGTCATGGATTACATAACTGATTGTGCAATATATCAAAATGCCAGGATTGAATTCAACCCCTCCTGTACCTCTGCATCCCTCCCTCCCCGCTCTCTCTCTGTCTCTGTACTTCTCCTGAGCAGAGTGAGAAGCTGTTGATCAAAGGAGGTCGCGTGGTCAATGACGACCAGTCTGTCTATGCAGATGTCTACATCGAAGATGGGCTCATCAAGTGCGTATATAAGGAGCTAACTATGTTCAAGCACTGCAGAGACATTAAAAATATAGATTTTAGTACTGTGAATATTTTTCTGTTGATGATTTTGCTTCCTTATTCTCTTTATGTTTTCCATCTTCCCATCCTCTGCAACCCCCTTTCATCCACACCCGTTTATTTTTCCCGCACTACATCTTTTCCCATCGTCTCTGCACCTCCTCGTTCCTGCTTTTTGCCTCCCTTTCACCCTCCCCTTTGTCTCCTCATGTATCTGATCTTGGCAGGCAGGTGGGGGAGAATCTGGTTGTTCCGGGCGGTGTCAAGGTGATCGAAGCTAATGGCCGCATGGTGATACCAGGGGGGATAGATGTCAACACCTGTCTAATGAAGCCCTATCTGGGCACACAGCCTGTTGATGATTTCCTTCAGGGCACAAAGGCTGCACTTGCTGGAGGCACCACCATGATCAGTGAGTGTGGATGCCTGGATGTGTGCAGCATACGATAAGCTACACTGAATATGTCGGGATGTTTGCACTAACCTTTGACCTCTCTCACCTCTCAGTTGACCATGTGACCCCCCAGCCGGGGGACAGCCTGCTGGAGGCCTTTGAGCACTGGCAGGAGGCTGCAGATAAGAAGGCATGCTGTGACTACTCCCTGCACGTAGACATCCCCCAGTGGAATGAGACTGTTAAATATGAGCTGGAGCTGCTGGTGCAAGAGAAAGGTACGTCAGTTAGTTGTTCTATAATATTTCAGAACTGTCATTGCTGTAAGTCTTGTCTCAGTTCCATGTTTATCCCCGTTTTGGACCCATTGCACAAGAACAATGGGGACAGATTTAGAAATAATTTGGCCAAGTGCTGAATCCTCTTATAGTGAAGACACAGTCGAAATCCATTGTTCTCAATATGGCGCCGTCATGGTGGCAGTGTATAAATTTTGCTTGTAATCTGTTATAAGTAAAAAATCACTTTTCTTTTGGGACAGCTACAAAATAATGCAGTAACAGAGCCAAGGCAGCTGCTTGTGTGACCGATTTCCTTCAGAAATAAAGTTGAGTTGTAACCGTGGACTCTGTTCTGCCTGCTTTGTATGCAAGCCGAGCTTGTAGATAGGTTTTTGTATTTTAGAGTTTTCAGCTTCTTTTGAAGCGATCCTTGCCTTCCCTTTATCACCATCTTGTCATGAACACATTCTTTGTTTCCACTCGTGTAAGGTATCAACTCCTTTCAAGTGTACATGGCTTATAAGGATCTGTACCAGATGTCAGATTCTCAGGTATGTTTCAAAAATCACTAAATTTTATATAATACTTCACTAATTTCCACATGTAAATCTGCGAGTCTATGCTCTTTCCTTTTACTTTTAACCTTTTTTTTTTTTTTTCGGACCCCTCCCTCCCTCAGCTCTACGAGGCTTTCTCCTTCCTGAAGCAGCTGGGTGCTGTGGTGTTAGTTCATGCTGAAAACGGAGACCTGATTGCTCAGGTAAGTGTTCCATTACCTCCACTATTTTTTGTCTCTTTGTGGCAACTGACAAACCCATACCCCTTGCACCACTCCTCTTGCAGTCTGTCGGTGTATTTACTCAGCCTCTAGACACAGCAGTTTACTGTGGTGAAATAACCAACAGCATATAATGGCTGAACTAAATCATGACCAGTCGTCTACCTTTTATAGTCCTCCACTGCAGTTGAAATATATTCTTGTTGCATAACTCTTCAGCTCCCAGAGAGAGAAAGGATTAATGCTGCTGCTGCTGCTGCTTCTGCAGCTGAGAATGACAGGTTTATCTTAGGCCACCATTACTGTTGACCATTATTGTACTAATGATGAAGTAATGGTGATTAAGATGGTGAGGGTGAAGGTGCTGATAAAGCAGACAGCAGTGATGAATAATGGTAGTCATGGTCATGGAGATGATGGTACTGATTAAGGGGGGAATTATGGTGAAAACCATGATGTATTGTGAGGAAGAATGGGGGTAATGAATGATTATGGGCGTGCTGATGAATGATAATGACATACTTGTTAACCTAACTGTAATGGAGGGAGATGGGTGATGAAAAACCAGTAGAAGTACCAAACCCCTTTGAAAACAAATAGTGGAACCAAAAAAGAATGAGGGGTGGGGGGGGTGGGGGGGTCTGGTTCTCATATTAATTTCTCTGTGCACTAGACAGTGCTGCCAGAAGCCCAGCAGCTGAAGCCAGCTCAAGCTCCCAATGGAGCATTGGCATATAAGGATTACAATACACACTTTACTTTCTTTGATAGTGTGACAGACCATGAGATTTTCATTTCACAGCCGTGTGATATCAGCAAAGGCGGTGAAATGTGAGTCTTGTGGGTAACACATGACTTGACAGGTACTGTAGGTAATGCTGACAGCTACTGTACAGTGTGGGAGGATAATTATGTAACCGTTTCCATTTGTTCTTTAGGAACAGAAAAAAATCCTCGGAATGGGAATCACCGGACCTGAAGGACATCCTCTGAGTCGTCCTGAAGAGGTGATTTTAATACGCCTTCACTGTCTGACTAGCCATCCATCATTGTGTAGGTTTTAACACTTCCATACTTCCCTTCCATGTAGCTGGAGGCTGAGGCGGTGTTTCGTGCCATCACTCTTGGTAACCGTGTGAACTGCCCAGTCTACATCACCAAGGTGATGAGTAAGAGTGCAGCCGACACGATCACCCAGGCCAGGAGGAAAGGTCAGTCTTTTTGTTTTCCTTCCTTTTTTTTTTTTTTTTTTTTTTTTTTTTTTTTAATTTGATAACTCCTCCTGTGTGTGCTGACATGTTATGCTCACAGTCTGAACATTATTATCCCATCTTCCTGTCCAGGTTCTGTAGTTTTTGGGGAGCCAATTACAGCTAGCCTGGCCACTGATGGTTCTCACTATTGGAGCAAGAACTGGGCCAAAGCGGCTGCTTATGTGACCTCTCCTCCTCTGAGTCCTGATCCCACAACTCCAGACCATCTCCACACACTACTGGCCTGGTACGTCTTAAAACTGTTCAGCAAACAATGCACAAGGTTTTCTGTTAATGCAACTCCCCAGGGTTTTACAACAAGTGATAATAATATTCTAGTAAACCTGACAAAATATGTAGCCTACAGTATATTTCATAAACGCTATAACAAGTGAAAACTTTACTAATTAATACAGGGTGAGGACAGACAACGTGCTTAATTTAGCTTTAACCTCTGCACAAAGTGAAATGCAAATCAGCTGAATGACACTAAAGGAGACAACAGTAAGGATCTAACTTTCACTGTTTGCCCCTAGGTGTTCACTTGGTATTCATGCCACAGACAACTGCTAGTGTAATGCAGCCCAGCTTTAGTGAAAAAGAAAAACAGATGGAGAGAAGGTGAGGGTATGTGTATGAGGAGAAGATGGATAGAAAGAAAGGGAGGGGTAGGGAGACTGAGAGAGACTTAATAGTGGATAAAGGACTGTATAATCATTTTGAAGCCACTTTAGCTGTATAATGTAAAATGCATTATAATGTTAAGTTCAGACGTAATTCATCAGTATCACAGAGAGGGATAAAGTGCCGCAGACCAAACCCACCTCACTTCTAACCTTCAAACCTACACTCACTCACATACAAAATGCATAGACAATCCTGCTCTACACTTTTGACTGTCCCCGATTCCATAAATAGCACAGGAACTAGAATCCTTCATCATCTGTTGCCTTGGCTACCGAGTGCCTCCCTGCTCCTTCTCCTCCTCCTCCCTGTTCCTCCAGCTTCTCAAGGCGGGTCCGTGCTGTCACGCCAGTGGTGCGATCCTGCTGTTGTCTTTGAGCTTCTGCTGAAGCGACAGGGTGTATTTTTCGGTTCATTTGCAGTCATGCGAACAAATGAACAACACTTTCTCTCAGATCTCAGCAAGGCCCATTATTTCCATGATAAGCACTCTCTTGGCATTGGGGCGATGATCCCACAGCTCCCTATCATGAAGTAATCACTGTAATTAACGAATGAATAAAAGGCCTTAGATGAGAAATTATGATAATGATAGCGCTTTATCAGTCAAATTCAGCCCCTTGTGCACCAGGAGGTAAAGCGAGTATATGTGTTGATGCTTTTTTGATAAGACAGTGTATCTTTATGTGGTCTTGTTAATGCTTAAGGGACTGGTACTGCAGCTGTGATGCACCATTCTGGATGGTTCAGCTGGCTGTTTTTTCTGCCCCAGGCCACTACATGACTTTTACTTTAACTCACGTGCTCACTGAGGACATCTGGTGGCTAATAGTAGAAATGTCTCTTTGTGTTCATCATTATTTTGTCTTTAATTGATTTTTGTAGCCAAATATCCTTTAAATGAGCATCTAATCATAAAGATTGAACTGTATTCAACAGTTCAAGACATTTTAAAATTCTGCAGGAAAAAAATATAACATTTGACAGCTTCATAACTGCAGGGATAAGGGAATAAAGATCATTTTGTATTATTATTATTATTATTTTTTTGCGTTGATACAGTGGGGACCTACAGGTGGTAGGCAGTGCTCACTGCTCATACAGCACTTCCCAGAAAGCAATCGGAAAAGATGACTTCACCCTCATCCCAGAGGGAACCAATGGAGTGGAGGAGAGAATGGGTTTTGTCTGGGACAAGGCCGTGGTGAGCAATAAGGGTGTGTGTGCGTGTGTGTGTGCTCGTTTGCGTCTTGTGTGTAGCTGTGAGTGTGACTTTCGTCGTCTACCACTTTAAACAGCCATTTATCTGTCTCTCAGGCCATGGGGAAGATGGATGAGAACCAGTTTGTGGCAGTCACATCTACCAACGCTGCTAAGATCTTCAATCTATATCCACGTAAAGGCCGGATAGCGGTGGGCTCTGACGCTGACATCGTCATCTGGGACCCTGACAGCGTCAAAACTATCACGGCCAAAATCCAGCAGTCGGTGAGGACAAAAAAGAAAATGGGGCAGAGGGAAAAGAAAGATGAGAGAAAAGGGAGGATGGTTCAATCAGCTGCTGAGGGACAAAGGCTACAGGGAGGAACGTTTCATATTATATGACTGCAGAGTGAGACACAGGTTGAAAACCAAGTGAATGATCACAGGAGGTGAAGAAAAACCTGGAATCTAATTTTAAATAAAGGTGGTATTCAGTAAAGTCAGGCAATATTTTGCCTCATTGCATAAGTGCAGTGAGATCAAAAGAATGCATGCATTACATTACAGTCAAAACCACTGTTTATTAAGACCAATGTTTAAAGGAAGCTAAAATGTCATTTGACAAGTGAATATGAGATTTATCTTTCAAAGAGGAAATTCACCCAGTAGTATGAAAGGATGCACTTTCTCATTTCCTGCAAGTAGTATCTAAACATATAGATAGTATGGGGTTTCTTTTTGCTCAGGTTTGAAAGTTACTCAAGTCTGAGCACATTTTCAACTAAAAATTTCTACTGCCACCTTAAACAATGGTGGTGAGTGGAATTTCGTATTGTAAAAATGACATTGAAATTAACCGTCTCTTCAATAGAAAGTAGTTCCAGTGAAATATGTTCACACTGAGAACTGCAGATTATTGGAACCCTGTTGTTTTAATCCTTTGAGCACCACAAATGAAACTCACATTCACCCACTTCGTGTTGGGGTGGCAGCAGATAGCTCAGGGATGGATAACTCTCTGCATAGCAAGATAGAACTAAAGACAAATGAAATAATTTTTTTTTTTTTTTTTTTTTTTTTTTTTTTTGACAGTCCAAGCAATGCATTTCAATTCAGGAGACTGGTCTCTGGGGTGGAAATTTGCCTTGAGCAATGTGACACAATACAGTGAAGATACCAGACAGTGGTTAATGTATTCAGTCTGCTCTGCCACTCTCAAAGGCTCTAATCCAGACTGCTGCCGGCTTTAGGTTATAATCTGCCTTCACCCCTCACCCATTCCGTGCTACCATCTCTCTACCCATCCCCCTGTATTCACACTGCTGCCCCTTCTATATGCCCTTAGCCTCTCACTTATTCAATCATGCATCTTCTCAACTGCAGCGTTTTACTGTATTAAGATCTAATACAATCCTTGCAGAAATAGCACAGTGGGCCTTGACAGTGTAAGGTATCATTGTTCTAAATGGTGGTTGTGGTGGTGGGGCTCTTCTTTGTCTCTCTGCTTTATTGTCTGATATGTTTTCACTGTGTTCACACACAGGCTTCAGAGTACAATATCTTTGAGGGTCTGGAGTGTCGTGGAGGTCCAGCGCTGGTGCTGAGTCAAGGTCATGTGGTTTATGAGGAAGGCAAGCTGCAGGCTCAGCAGGGGACTGGTCGATTTATTCCCTGCAAGCCCTTTCCAGACTATGCTTACCAACGCGTTAAGTTCAGGAACCAGGTACAGAACATGGATAATTTTAAAGATATGTCTATGGCAGTATTAAAAATGGGACATTTAAAAATACTTCTATTTAGAATATTAGATGGGCTGTCGACATCCAGTGTTAGTTTCCCTGTAATGGCACAAGTTCTTTTCTTACTTGTCTTTGAAAATACTTAAACACATATCCAAAACACTGATATTCAAGTTTAATTTGATTTGGTTTAGCATACTAGAAATATTCCAGTATATTTATAAAATACAACATACCAGACTATGTTCAGCATTTATTGACAAAGTCCTGGACTTTCCATTGTGGTCCCTGGTGTTTTTCCATCTTGTTTGTCTCTGTGTTTTCTATCCAGGTGAAGGAGAAGCAGGAAGCAGTTACTCGTGGGATGTATGATGGACCTGTGTATGATGTCGTTCCTACCCCCAAATACATTACTCCCGCTCCGTCAGCCAAAACTTCACCCACCTCTCACCAGCCACCACCAATACGCAACCTACACCAGTCCAATTTTAGCCTATCAGGTAACAGACATACTGTATTTTGTAGAATTTTTCAAATCCAATGATTTCTTTGTTGCATCTACATGTCAGATGGAACATAAAAATTCAGATGCACTAAATGACATATGGTGGGATTGTATAAGAAATATTGCTTTCCAGATTTATTTGAAGTACATAAAATCTTATATTTGAATTTTATTTTATCTTTATTTCTCAGGGGCACAGATTGACGACAATGTCCCACGTCGGTCGGGCCACCGTATCGTAGCACCCCCAGGTGGTCGTTCCAACATCACCAGCCTTGGTTGAACACTTGACTGTGCACAAAGTGTGGTTGTTGTGGGGTTTCACCTCTTGAGTGTGTGTGAGTGTGTGTGTATGACTAAGAGTGTGAGCACACGGGCATGAATGAATACCTTTGTATTTTTTGGTACAATGGTGACACGCTCTTTTTAGACCATTATGATTTTATCAGTTTGCCTTCAGTCCATGGTCACTGAGAAGAAGCACATTTATACTTCCAATGAAATGAGAGTGTGATTTACAATCAACCAATTCATTCAGAAATATGAAAAAAAAAAAAAAACTCACAGACTCACGATTGGGGCACTCACACACACACACACAGATCTGGTGTTGGACCCCCTCCAAGCACCTAAATGTGACCCCAGTATTACGTCATAATGTTGTTGTCTCCTTTCCTGTGAGCATGACTTCCTCCTTAATCTTCCTCACATCCTCACGTCTTACTGTGTGAGTCTGCTCAGACATGGTGCTCCTGTCCACCCATCTGGTGGACAGCTGAAGAAATAACGGATTTCTCCTGCATCTGGTTTTCAATATCTTAGCAATATTTGTTTCAATGTGACTCAAGTGGATCAGTTATTCATATTGCATGGACACATCTTTAGATGTTGCACTACTTGTGGTTTATTGTTACAACGGAGGAACACTTAAAATTGTACTGAAGGCACACATTTGTATCAAACAGCACAAACATACAGTATCCTTATATTGGTAAATGTCTGCTTTGAACACATAATTACATTCACTGTGGGTAGACGGTTGTTACCAGGTTCAAAACACATTCATTTTAACATTACTGTGAACTTCAATAAAAGCAATGCAACTTCCACTCCACCATCAGATACTATATGCAAATGTGTCAATACCCTCCTATAAAGTGTTAAGTAGATGAGCAGTTGAAACAAACACAAAAGCACCTGTGGACTGCTAAATTCATTTTTAGATTGCTGTACCTACATATTAGCACAGTAAAGACTTTATGTGTGTGCTAGTTTTCTGCCAATCTCTCATGCCAGAAATAGATCTTTGTTGTAATGACATGCACAACTCACTGCTGTAAAAGGGCTTCAGCTCTCACCACCACTCTGTCAAACTTCACTGAGAATCTTTTTAAGCTATTTTTATTTTATTGTGTTGATTCTGGATGTTTTCATGGTACATTTAGTGTTTCTATGCCGCTCTGTTTTTGTTGCTGTTGTCTGGTGTCTCCAATGGAACCACTAATTATCAATAAAGACTTGACTGTTGTCAAAAATGATGGTAAAACAAACATTCTTGAGAGTTTAATATTTACATGTTAATATATTTATATTATGTTTAACTGACTGTAACTGTGACTCAGATAATTCAAGCACTTTCTCATGCCATGTCTTTGTTTTTGTCTGCTGAATGTCTATGGCACGATTAATATGTTCATTTTTGTTAATTAAATAATTAATTTAAGTTGAATTGGTGCTTCAGTGAAGAGATTTAAGATATATACACCTTCACGGATGGCTGCTAGGCTGAACACCAGAGAAATCGAGAATAAATGGCCTGTTCTCCGAAAACCCATCCATGGTATACTCTGAAATAACAGCACAAGGACAATTCCCATCCAGAGCTGAGACTGAGCAATAGCTTACTGGAAGGGCCTGTGGGAGAAAGAGGCATTACATAACCCCAATGCCAAGTGGCTGGTGTATGTCAGAGCATACCAAATCCCCCAGAACAAGAACCAGTCAACATCACAAAGGCAGACACCAAACAACTTAAAGAGCTGGACAGGAGCTGACATGATCCACTCCTACATGCTGAAGAAGCTAACAGCGCTCCATGATCACATGACAGCACCAATGAGTTTTTTTTTTGTTTTCTCACAATATACTTGAACTTTATTTATAAAGAAATTTGGAATACAGTAACATCTTTCTTTTTCAGCTTTGGTTAAGAAAAGAACATACAGACATTGCATGACAAACAGCACCCAGGCTAGTAATAAATAACACACCACAGCTTTCATAACGGAGAGCCAGAGCCAGTGACTGAGCAACTGGCTGTGTCAACCATATTGGCTCCACTGTAGCGTGTTGCTAAGTTTCAGCTGATTTTGTGAGAAGCGGCGCATTCCTGTTCCTTTCCCTCGGTATTGTGCACTCTCTGATCAGAGACTCATTGATGACAGACAGACTCACACTTTGCTTTTTTTCACTTGTTCAGCACGAGCCTCACAAAGCCTATTTTTGGGCATTACTTAGTTTTTTAAATGCTATTCTTTATTAGCATAGTTCTAAGAGGGTTAGAGGGTGTTAGTGCATATTTACAGCAAACAATTTTGATGAAAAGGCAGCAGTATTTTCTCCCATCGCCCAAACAGGCAAATCTCTTTAAATTGCAGAATTGACAATGATTTGCAATTTGAACACAACATGTAAAAATCTCTTTGGATTATACTTGAAGTCTGCATGTGTGGCAGAGCAACATTGAAATGCAACTGGCCTCTTTAGGCATCAGAGTTGAAAAACATTTTTCATAAAAAAAAAAAAACATGTATATTTCTGATGTGTGATAACAGAAAGCAAATCACAAACACAAAAAAATTGCTGAAACATGAATCTTTGGAAAGTTGTAGTGGCTTGGAGAGTAATGGATTATGTAAAGAACTTTTGCGGTCTCTTTACATTAAGTGGCCAACAACTTTTAAAAATAATATCAATAACTTTTAAAGGTCTTGTAGCTAATCAGATGACTCCAGCTTTACAAATGTCCCAATAATAACTCCTTCTGATGGCCAGTGATGTTCCTAATCTGGTCTGATCTGAGGAAAGATGTTGAAACAAATTTAGTTGTCAAAGGCTGCTACAACCACTATGTAGACAATGAGGAGAACAAAGGACCCGATACCGAATCCCAGGGCCACATGGTTCAGTGTCCTGGCCATCCTGCTGCTCTGATCAGCCGCGTTCCGGTCCCCAGTGTGGTTGGCTTCACGAGCTATGATGGAGTAGATGAGGGCAGCAATTCCAAGAGGCAGGCAGCAGCACAGCATGGTGAAGATGGAGTAGCACAGGTAGTCGTTCACAGGTTCAGTCAGCGGGCCTCGAGTCACGTACACTGTGGGCTGGACAGTGACGGTGGCCGGCTGTGCTGGGTACTGCTGCTGACCCATGGGAAACGGCTCTCCATATCCTGCACCCCCATAAGGTGGAGGAGGTCCGAAGCCCTGCATCTGTGGTGGGTATGCCGCGCCGGGGTGAGGGTACCCCGGGTAGGGGTTGTCAAAGTAGGCCGGAGGTGGCACCTGGCCCATGGAGGACTTCTCATCACCGTATTCCTGTGGAGGAGCGCTCGCAGATTTACCGGGGTCCATAATAATAAACCTCGGTCTCTACTTCCCTTTAGAAGAAAAAAAAACTCCCTGGTTCACGTTTTTCAGTCTGAAGTGTTTGATGGTGAATTCCAGCTGCAGACATCCAAGTTTTCTCCAAGTTCGATCCGACAGCACCAATGAGTGAGATGCTAACAGCAGGCAGTTAGCATCAGCTACTAGTTGACAGAACAACCAGCCAAGACTATAAAACTAGGAAGACCAACTTGGGCACCGCCTGGATCACCTACAAGGCTACTAGGATCATAGAGTCCTTTTCCCAATACAAGGCTAACAGGCAGACCAACACACTGAACTGAACGTTTCCGTTTGCAACTAATGTACGTGCACTCACGCGTTATCTCGAGAGCGTGAACTACGCCTACGCACCAGTAGGTGGTGGTAATGCACCAAAAAGCTGTTTGCCAACCGCCAAAAAACATCAGAAGAAGAACATGTGCGCTTTACGGCGGCACCCGATGATACACGGCACCCGGCACCCGTCTGTTGTGTAGTGCTGGCAGTACAAACAACACCGCTTCTGGCGGGCCTACTGCTGAAGTGAGTTCATATGAACACTTGAAGGACTTTTATGAACGACTCGGTGCACATTCAAACGGAAAAAGTCGCACATTTTCAAAAAACAAGTCTGAACGTCAGCTACATCAACGAATTTGAAACAACACATTGAGTTGAAGCATCCGACCAGTCTTCTGAAATGTCTACAACTGAACGACGATCACATGAAATCGTTAAGAAAGGGTAAGACAACGAGCCAACAGCCGCAAAGTTCCTCCACCTGAGTCAAACTCACAGCACATGAAACATACACCCACATTAGTTTTTCGTGGCATTTAAAAGTAATCACAGTCTGTGACTCTATGGTAGTATACAGTAATTCATTAGTTTGTGAGGTGGCAGTGACTGGGGGCTGGGGATGGATTGGACAGGGAGGAGGAGGGTCTATTGAAAAAGATTTTTTTTATTTTTTTTTTAATGGAAGAAATGAACGTGAACTTGTTCATTATTTGGACACAATTCAGTTCTGTGAACTATTTGTGAACTAACTAATTTCAGTCTTTGTGAACTGAACTTTGAGCTAGGTCCTGTGAAGTGTGAACTTGATATGGTTGGGTTTGAGTGTTGGCTGTAATGGCATCTATGATACTCATTTATTTTTCTGTCTGTTTAAAGCCTAACTTCAGAAAATCATAAATGACCATTCTGACAAGTTCAACTGAAATATATTTCAGTATAATTCTTTTGTTTCTGTTGTGCAAATGGAGATGAATGAAGAGAATAAGGGCAGGAGTGGCACTAATTGTCAGTTCTTTCCTCCATTATATATCCACAGTAAAGTGGATATATTTGATGCTTTGAGACTAAACATTCAGATGGAGGTCTGGAGAGACCAGAATGACATGTACTGTCATTACAAAACAGTGATGTTGGCAAAATATCATTTTGAATTCATTGTGACACTTTAACATATTTACTTCCTTTTCAGATGTAGCACATTAAACTGTAAGTGTGAAGTGCGTAAGCAACAAGTTCCTTGGTGAGATGGCACTTTTAGTATACTTTAATATGAATCTCCGCAATTTGTTATTTAATAGTTTAATAAATTAATTACATATTTAGTTTATGTGCATGAAAAAGGTATTTCTTGTGTCCCCATTTTATGAAATATAGAAAATTTCCTTCTTTGCTTTGCGAGTATGAATAGTCAGGACACTACAGAGGCTCTGGCCATAACCTAGTATATTATTAACACATTCAAAGATGTGTTAATAATGTGGCCTGGGGAAGCTAATGTCAGTCAGTCTGCCCTCTGCTCAACATGTCAAGAAAGTGTAACGGCTCAGTAAACAAGGTTTGGACTCCAAAATATGACTCACCCACAGAGCAGCAAGACAGAAGTTCAAGTTTACTTGAATTCAAAGGCAAGCAAAGGCTGGTAATAGGCAAGCAGAGAAAATGAGGCAAAGGAGCAGAAGTCCAAAAAGCAGGCTGGGGGTTCATTAAAGGAAAGAATTGGCAGGCACAGGAAAAAGGCTGGATCACTATGGCTGTAAGAAACACTACACAATCTGGTGTGACAGAGGGAAATGGGCTAGTTATAAATGCTTACAGAGCTGAGGAGGGGATGGCGAACAGGTGTGCAGGTGGGTGTAGTATTCAGCTGACAGGGAATGGCAGGAACACTGTTGCTGTGTCTCAAATCGGACACTTCAGTCAGTACACTCACATGTAGTACACTGCGTACACAGTATACTCACTGGCGTAGTGCGTGAATTCTGACCGGGTAGTACTGTCCCAACTCAAATAATAACACATAATCGCAACATACAACTGCGATTGTCGCCCGGGTAAATGTCTGCCAGTTGCTCTTCTCACTTGACTTGAAAGTGAACATTTTACTTTCCTGTGTCATGCATTATGGAAATTACGCCATCATCAGCACCGATGACGCGTTTTCTGTCCTCAGTCGCCGTTTCCAAAAGTTTGAAAATGCGCTGGTGGACACCATCCTTCCGCTATGTAGCCATGATGGTGACCATTGAGGATGAGAAGTGTCCAGTGTTTTGACCGTTGTGAGCGCATTGCTGGAAGAGGAAAAAGTTAAACCCCTGAAAATCGTTTTTTGCTGACCTCCAGTGGTTTAACTTCTCACCTTGCTGCACAGATGGAGGTAGCAGGTGCACGTCAAGATCCTGTGACATCACTGTTGGGTGTGGTTACAGGTGCAACAAAGCACACTTCTGACCACACCCAACCACATCTATCAGTGATGCTGCATGTGGTCAGAGGTGAAACTTTCAACCACAGAGGGGCAGCAAAACACTGCTTTTCAGTCAGGTGTTAAGTTACTCTTTCAGAACTGGATGGTGCTCTGACAGAAAGATGTCTTGACAAATTACCCACCACATTGCAATGATGTTTTTGTATAGTACAATCATAGTGCAATCAATCTGTCTAGAAAAACAAAAAAAATTATTACTCAATTTTCAAGAAGGTTGCTCTGGATGTTCATGCTTCAGAGAAATTGAACCCCACCGTGTTTGACCACTTTATTTTATCTGATCCACATAAAACCAAAATTTTCACATGTGAAAAACTGAATCAAAATCTGACAAAGCAAACTGTCTTCAGTCAGTGCAATAAGAATGCAGTCTTTAAGTGGCATGAGTGGAACCTATATAATAAGACATACATCACAAAACTTTTAGTCCTCTTACATGCTGCAGTTGTCAGCTTGTCACCTTGAAAATGCTTTCACTTCCAGTTTGTCACAATGCTGTTATACTACATCTGTATATCCACACCCATCTGTGGTCCCAGGGGAATGTATACTTTCATTATAGTCCTTGACAGTAACGGCTACTTTACTTCACTTAATTTTCACGTTTCATCTGGCGGAGATTGGCATCACTTGATCTTGTTTTCTCAAAGGAAAACTCTTTACTGAATGAGCTTATTTGAAATTGGTGTTTTTCTTAGTTTTTTTATTTATTTTTTATTTACAATCCTCATGCGATAGTTGCATAAATAAATTGTGACACACTTAAGGGTTTATTTGCTGTAGTATCAGGCTAGGATTCTCCACATTATATTATATCCTTATGTGCATATACTTTTAATGTCTTAGACCAGCGGGAAAATGCTGTTAAAACGACTACACAGACAGATCAGATATGTAATTTCTATCCCAAACTTAATGCTTGATACATTATATTTCTTGATCCTGAGATGCTGCGCAGTGCCTCATAACTAATGGAGAAACTTTCCCTTTCTGTATGATCATAAAAGTCTGTATGATCACAAAGAGTTTGAGCTGTCATATGTAGCAGATAGTTGTAGCAGGAGTTCTGTAACATTGACAAAATGTTGAAAAAAAAAAATGCTCTAATGCAAAGCAGAATAACAGAAGCACAGATTTTGGCATTTCTACAGTTATGTGATCTTCTGAAACCCAGTCTACTAGCTTCACGTATTTTTTATTTATCACATACAGACTGTACATATGAATTGAACATTTTCTGGCTTCTGCTGAAGATGAACTGATTCCAGACAACATCACCTTCACAGAGACCAAGAGAGACCTGCATGCTGCCGCTGCCATCTGCTCGGGGAGTGAACCAAAGGGATGTAATATTGAGCTTGTGAGAGTGAAATTATGCAAGTTTTCCACTTTCTGCAGTAGGTCATGAAATTGCAGAAATTGAAAACAGTTGCTGTGTGTGTGTGTGTGTGTGTGTGTGTGTGTGTGTTGTACACAAGTCTGAACAGGTGCCATAACAATACAGACTTCTCATCCCTTGAAAGGGTATGGGCTGCTGTTTGGGAATAAGGGGGGTGGGGGGATCGACTGCATCCAGGCAAATTACTGAGACAGCTGTGCTGTTCTTCTACCACTGATGGTCTCTCTGGTCTCTGCCGTGCATATCTGAGCTACATCCAGTTACTGTGCAATAAACAAAACAAAAAAACAGTCTCTTCTGAATACAAAAAATAAAAAACTAACAATAAGGTAGTAATTCAGTAGTACTCTCTAATGTCTGTTGGCCTTCCATATGCAGTAGCAGTCAAAAGTTTGGACACACTTTTCACTCACTTTAATGGGGAAAGTGTGTCCAAACTTTTGACTGCTATTGTATATTTAATGTATTTTATAGCAATTTAAAAGTGTATAACATGGGACATTGATCATTTATATCGTCAATGCACACACAAAACTAATAATGCTAATAAGCTAACAAATTAACTCAGCAGGGAGACCTGTTGGGGCCGCTGCATGATTGTCAGTTTGTAACACCTGCTTTTGGCCAGGTGGTTTGGAGCTTTGTTATAAGGTCAAGCCTGTTCTCGAGTCAAGCCAAGATTGATGTAGATTCATTTGAAGTTTATTTAAAAAAAACAAAAACAAAAAAAACCTGGACTTCACATAAGATGGTGAGACTCGAGGTTAAGGTTCAAAGTGGCAGTTTTTAGTTTTGTAAGTTAACATCAAGATTGTACCAAAAATAAACTAAACTGTTACAGAAATCTCTTAACATC